CAGTATGCAGAAACAATCAACAAAATGAGTACAAGGGAGGCACCCCCAACTGAAAATGAGATTGTGTCCTCACAGTCCAAATATCAAAAGAGAATACCAAAGCAAAAGAATAGTAATAGTTTGATATTACTATTATCAATAGGAAAAGATTGAGAAGGCAAATGTCATTAGGAAGTAGTTTGATAGGAAAAAACAATCTTAGAAAATAGTAATTGAGCATAAGATGAAACTAACCAAAACTGACTATAATGCTAAGTACTTCGTAGCCTCAACAACATGCTTAAAGAGTGCCAAAGAACCTGTTAGAAAACTCAGCACTAATCCTGCATCCATAACCTGCAAATTGATCAACATTTAAACAGTAAGTTTCAAGGGAGAGCTTCATGGTGGCAGCATACCGACAATTATAGAGCCGTAGTTCAAATCCCCCCCCCCAAAAAAAAGAAGCTTGTTTTGAATACCTGAGAGAAGTGTTGAGAGAAGTGCAAAGACCTTCCTGGAGGAAGACCTGCATAATTGCAATTCTTCACCCGTCGATTGGAAAAGATAAATATTAAGCAATTTTTTGTGCATTCTCCTGCAAGATATTGTAATTATTTAGTTAGAGCACTGTGATGTGCCAGAATTTTCCGAACCACCCTAACTTCTCTGCACAATATAGAGATGAAGATGCAACAGTATGCATGCCATAATCATGAAAATCTATACGGTCAAGAATTATAGATTAACAAAGGCGCAAGAAGGCATATATATTTCTAGAACGAGTGGTGGGACAACTAATTTCACCACCAGAAAAAGGCAAATAAAATTAAACCAGTTGTTTTTCTATGCGAAGAGCCATTTTTTTATTCCCTCTCAAACAAAGCCAACAATTGAATGGAGCTAACCCTGCACCTTCAGCATTTTGTACTTGTCAATGAACTGATTTCTTAAACTTTACTCAACTTTATCAAGTATCAACAACAACAAAAAGAATTCTTAAACTTCATGGTCAATTATAGGGCAGCCAGTGCATTCAGGAAAAGAATTACAGTGTCACGAAGTATTGCACAAATTTGTGCATTGCAGGGTCTATAGGGTGCTGCATAGAGAGGACTTATTGTATACACCTTAAGCCAAATGGAAGGGATCCACAATTTTGACTTGCATACAACCCTTAGTACATACTAAGAATGTGGGAGGAGTCCAGTGGACTCAAGGCAAATTCACATGCATCAAACAAAAATAAGAAAAGGAGAATTAGTACTTTAATGCAAGAAAAAGAATTTGAAGGACTTCAAGAAATTAAATTATAGGCTACTGTAATAGATGGGAGCTTGAAATGGTATAAAAATGAGGCATCCTTAAAGGAGAAAAATAAATAACTCGCCCCCAAGGCCTAGCTCAAGTGGCAAAAGGTGGAGGATTTGTGGCTTAGGTCACAGGTTCAAGCCCCACACCATGCAAAGCGTAGCCCGGTATTTAAGTGGAGAAGGGTAGAGGGGCGGGCCCATTATCCACCGAGTTTAGAAGGCTGTGATTGGTCCAAAGGGCGGGTCACAGACGGATTTCTCGGTTATCAAAAAAAATAAATAAATAAATAAATAACTCACTAAATTGAGCACTGTAAATGAATCTAAAGTAACAAAGTTGATGTATTCATTATTCTTCCAAAGCTTACTTCAATTATCATTTAAGCCTAAACTTTCATGAAACCAAACCAAATAGCAACATCGATAATTTAAAGACCTCACATATTTTGAACCAAAAGAAAGGGAACTCGGGATGGGAAAAAACTATGATTACAACAACGAGAATTCAAACCAAACAAGTATGAATGATTCAAAATAGACAAGCAATGAATACAACTAAACATTATAAGATAAGAGAATCAGGAGAAATTGAACCATCAAAATGGGTTATCAATATTTGGAACTGAAATACTAAGCAAACACTCAATCCTTACGTTTAAACAACAAGCAATAAGATGGAAACCTTAAGAAAATAAGAATCTGATCCACTTGTGGTGTTAACTTTGAGTTAAAATAAGCCCTTTATGTTAAACCACAAAACAGCGAACAAGCTAAGACGAGGAAACACAACCCATAACAGCATTTGACCACAAAATATTTTGGAAATCCAACACGAAATAGAATGCAAGATGAACCCAAGTGGTAAATTTAAAGCCTCAGATCTTATTAACTTATAAACAAGTATTTTACTAAGATACGAGTAAATCAATCAAAGAGACATGCTTCAAACATACCTGAAATTAGAACAAGAGATATTCAACCAGCAGGCACAATGTAAAAGAGTAGTAAGGCAGTAAGTTATCCGATTCATCCTGTTTACACTAGTCAAGATACAAATGAAGTAATCAGCCCACGACATGTTAGGAAAACAAACCCACCTATAGAAACTAAATTTAGAATTTCAAACTAAATCACAAATCATAGACAACATGATTAGATTAAACAGTGGTAGCAACCACATCAGTGAAATCAAAGAGGTATAAACCTTCAATATTTCAAGCAAAAATCTACATAAGAAGACATTTTTCAAGCTTACAAGCATAACAACTAGCAACATAAGCAATACATAGGTATATATCTCATAACAATAACCTTTAAAGGAAGAACAGTAAATCGAATGAGAAATTAGCCATTCAAGTAGACATAAACTCAAGCATAAGATGTCAACCAACGGAAAGAGGAACATAAAGTTTATGCAGAAAAACAAAACTACCAGCTAAGCCCTAAATTTGGAGAAGCGGAAAAAAACTAAGAGCTATATCACATTTTTGTAAAATAAACTAATCATCCAGTAGAACAGAGGAAAAAACTACCATTGATATGAATAAACTTAACACATGACGACTCAAACATAATCACAAATGCCTAAACGGAAAACATAGAATAACTTAGGACCTGAACAGAGCAAAACTAAGAAAAGGCGTTTATGTTATGATGGGCAGCGAACCGGAACAAACGAGCGAAATGCGACTAAGAATTCGGATGAACCCAACAAGCAACGAACAAGAAAAGAAAGAACCTCTTTTAGTGTATTTGCTAAACTAAGGTCGGTTAAGCAGTATTTTCTAGCCCTTTTCTATCTTTTTTCCCTATTTTATCCAACCCCTAACTCTGAATTTGGGGAATCCAAAATTGGGACAGCAACAGAAACGATTTTTGGACAGTAACAAAGGATTCAAAGAGATGAAAGCGACTGGAATGGCGGAATATATGAAATTTACACAGCCTTTAATCACATTCTCAAACACATAGCTAAAGTCTCAATTTTGGAAGAGCTCATTTCAAGTTGAATTAGCCAATCAAAAAAGCTTTATTACTACATAAAAAGAACATTAAAGATATAATATACATTTTATATCTGCCTGGACACTATGCTGGAGGCAAGGGCTCTGCTAAAATAATATATGAAATTTACACAGCCAAACATTCCTAAAAAGTGCTGATTGTTTGTCGTCATATTACACAAAAACAAGATAAGGATTTAGAAACTCAGAAGCTTAATGGACACCAGATTATTTACACTGATCAAAAAGTTAAAGAAAATTGCTCATAACAAATCAGCTGATAGTGAGTTTTGCAGCAACTGGGAAAACTAACAACTTTTTAGGAGGGGATAAGTTATATGTATGTAAAACACTATATAGAGCCACAGTGCATAAGCATCCTTATTTGAGAACCTTGCTGACATAGCTACAAATTTCTGTTTTTCTCTCTTCTTTTTAGTCTCCTTTTTGTTCTTTTTCAGGTGGGAAAGGGGCCGGTTGTGGGGTCTGCTATACTAAAAGAGTCCATGTTATTTCATCCCAAGAACAGACTCTTAAAAATAAAAACAAAGTTGATAGTTTAGATTAATGCTTGACAAATGATTTTATACATTCTTCTTCCCTTTTGTTGGTTTTCTTATTAGAGTGTTAACCTTGATCTTAATACTTCTGGCATTAATCGGTGGATTTACTTTTTTTAGCTTCCCCTTAATTAAGAAATTATAGAATATCATTGTTTGAATAGGTGAGCTAATTAATGTATTAAAAATTGTAATAAATTAGTCACAAGAAATTCAAGAAAACTTTTGCCTGAATGGATACAACTATCTTGATAAGCTTAGCATGCAAGTCATACACGCATAATCCTTTTAAGTACATCCAATTAGATTGATCTTGATACCAATTTTGTAAAAGAAAGGGTAGTCAATGAGAAATTTAGAGGGACAAACAGAAATTAGGGAAAAAGACAAAACCTGGTGGAAAGGGAACGATTCCAACTGATTCAACAGGTAGAAAACTCAGGCGATTTTCATTACCCGAATTCAAAGTCGATTGCCTCCTGAAAACAAAACAAATCAAAGTAAGAAGTTCAAAACCTTCAACGAACCACCAAACCAACAAAATAGAATTCTTGGTAATGGGAAAAATAGAGAACCCTTCAGAATCTTTGGGGGTAATACTATGGGGCTTTTGCCGCCGATATACAACAGCAATATTTTTGTTCTTGAATTTGTTGAGAGGGACGATCAAAGTGTTCTTGTTCAGCAGCTATGAGTTCTGCCCACAAATCAACTGCGTTTCAAAGTCCACCGTATTAGTACCCTAAGAACCGAATCTTGATTCGGACGGCTCTAAGCGTACGAGGACACCTGCTGTACGAGGTGAAGGAGGAAGACCACGCGACTGGAATGGCGAACGTTACACTGTTGGAAGTGTAGCTGTCCTCTGTGATGTTGGAATTATCGATTTTTGTAGTGTATAGACGTGAAATGGTTGGAGTTGAATGTGGGCTGGGCTGGGTTTTACACGAATTGGGTCGGTAAGGCTGGCCCAATTTGGAATTGTGTATTATCTGTAGGTATTGTGAACGTTGGGCTGGGTTTTACAGGAATTGGGCTGGCCCAATTTTGGGCCTTTTCATGGCAAGAAATTTGTAATTTTAAGGAATAGCCATATAAATTAACAATTTAGTCAAATTGAGTTCGTTCGACTACAATTTTAATACAACAAATGAACTAACCACCTTCTTATTAATCTTAATAAAATTAAATATAATAAACTAATTGACTCAAAATTATATAACCATAATTTAAACTAAACTAATTTAATGAAATATTTAACTTAAAATTAAAAATCTTTTGAGATGATTTCCAAATATATATATTGATTGATGAATACTAGTGTGCACACTTCTCTTTGCCAAATAATTATAAGCCAAAAACTGAGAGGTTGTAGGAATACAGTTGTAGGTGTTTGTACAAAATGCTTTAACAATTGTACTTTATAGCCACGTGTATGTACTTTGACACAACTGTCTTACAATTACTCAACTCCTACACCTTAACCAAAATTTCCTCTGAAGTTTGTCTTCTTTGGAGCAGCTTCATTCACTCGATGAAGTAGGGGAAAAGGCATCAAAAGTCATGGTTAATCCCTTTACTTTGTCTTTTTTTGCCAAATTTTACTTTATACGTCTGTCTCCTCTATCTGAATTGTCTCTTTCAAGCTTCATCATTGGCCTCCTATTTAAGAATAAAAGAACAAAGACTTGATTGGACGATATTCACGAGCATATGACAAGCATGAGTGAAGAAGGGTTCCTCTAGATATATTTTCTATTTTAGTTTTGCATGTGTTTGAACTAGAAGTTTCACAATTTTGACGGAAAATTCTAGCTAATTAGAATATTATTACTTAGTTTTAGGTTTGAATCTAACTTTTTGATGCTTATTTTATTTTCGTAGGGCCCGTATCTTCAAAAAGAATTGGGACGCTTTCTTAGATGTTGTATCTTTCTTTGATTTTTTTCCCAGTTAACCACCTTCTTAATCTTAACAAAATATAATAATCTAGGGATAGGATGGCAATACCTTACGAAAGGGATAGGATGACAATACCTTATGATGATTTTGTTGATGGCCCACCAATCAACACACATGCGCCATGCTTCATCTTTCTTTGAAACCAATAGAACCGGAACAACGCATGGACTTGTACTTTACCTCACATAGCCCTTGTTAAGGAGTTCCTTAACTTGCCTTTGTAGCTCTTCGATTTCTCCCGGATTACTTCGATAAGCCGATTTGGTTGGCTAATGTGAGCCCGGCACGAAGTCAATTTGGTGCTCAATACCCCGGAGAGGGGGCACTCTACTTGGCAGTCCCATCAAAAGGGCTTCATTAGAATCCTGCAAAAGAAAGGAATTAGAATGGGAAGGAGAATAATTAGAGGGGTTAGCTTGGAACACATGATCCCTAGGTGTGACAGGGATCAATGAACTTTGGGACTCCACGTCCTCCCTTATCTCTTCATGCTCAACCAATAATACTTGGGATAGGCAAAGCTGATTGAATATATAAACATGCTAAAAAAACTGGCCAAGAGAGGGGTTAGATTTGTAATCAAGGTATAGCCAAATAAATTAACAATTTAGCCAAATGAAGCTAAAATTGTAGCCAAATTGAGTTGGTTTGGTGAATTCGACTAGAATTTTAATAGAACAAATTGATATAATTAACTACCAAACTTCTTAATCTTAACATCAAATATAGAAATATCTCTTCTGCTCTTTTTAACAAATTAAAAAACTAATCAAGAAAGTCACTTAAAATGAGAGGTATATAAGTACTATTTTCAAAGTCAAACTAAAATGTTGATATTAGGCACGTAACTTCGTAGAACTTATGTGGCCTCATTTTATGTATTGCCTTCCAAAGATTTTAATTATTTAATTACAATGATCTTACTTTTTAAATTATAACTTCTATGACCATATAATAAATATTAAAGCCGAGGGTGTACTACTTGTTTCCTTTTGGTCTTTCTTTTGGATATAAGAAATGATTACTTGTCTTTTAAGCCAAAATTACTGTTCCTTTTATCTTAAAAATTAAAGTACAAGAGATTAACTCATAATCTTTAAACTTTGGCATTTTTCCATTTATTCATTGATCACTTTATGACTAGACCAAGATTACATTAAGCATATAGTACACGTCAAAACTATATTTCTAATTGATTTCTTTTTTTTTTCTAGGTGTAATTGATAACATTTTAAGTATAAGCAGATTTACAATTTGAATTTAATAATATAATCATTGAATTTATGGACCATTTGAATTCTGAATAATTGATAATGTTTTAAGGATTAGATAGATTCACAGTTTGAATTATATGAATTTGAGATATCATTGAGTTATTGATTCGAAATTCAATATTTTAACATATACTTCTTAACACGTAAGAATCTTAGCTAAAAGTAATTTTGTATTTGACTTAACTCATCATAGCTTATATTGTACATTCATATCAATTGTAAAAGCATGTTTATCTTGCAA